AGAGAGAGAGAGAGAGAGAGAGAGAGAGAGAGAGAGAGAGAGAGAGAAGATGATGAGGGGTGGCCACCACACAGCCACACACCTGAACAGAGGGATCCAGTGATGTCTCACGTGAATCAGCAGCCATGTCCGGCCTCGCCTGTGTTTCCAAACAGAAGGCATCTGAACCAGACTCACCTCTGGAGGTGACAGACCAGGTGACTTTCAAATTTGTTTCCTTTTGGGGTGAAGGTGTCAGACCTCTCTGAAGCTTTAGGCAACGACTGATCAAAGGAACTCCTGGGGACCTGGAACATCTCCGCTTCTGTACCCCCAGAGTTTCTGACCACTGTACTCTTCCTCCCTTCAAGGGGCTCCAAGACCCCAGTGTCTTGAGGTCTGGTCTCCGGGATCTCAGTGGGCCCTCCAGAGATGTTGTGGAGTATTCATCAGAGAAGACTGCTGAGACATGGGTCTGAGCCAATAGAAAGCTGTCTGTTTGGGATCCCAGTGCAGCCAGGAGCCTTCCTCAGTGTGAGCTTTCAAGTAAGAAAACCAGGCTCTGGGCTGACAGACTTCAGTTAACAAGAGCAGTTAGCCAGAAGCCCAACTACAGAAGCCGCAAAGCACTGGCGTTCACACCCCCCCTTTACAAAGTCCCTATGGGCTTTGATGAATTTGGGCTCTGTTTTAGTTTTGGCAGGTGGTGCTGTCCATGTGCTGAGTTTATGGCCTGACTAGCACTTCCATCATGGAGTCAGCTGTGCTAAGAAGGTCTGGGGCCCTGATACACTGTGTCGGCCAGGCTGCTCAAATCCACGGAGATCCAGCTGCTTCTGCCTCCTGAGTTCTGGGATTAAAGCATGTGCCACCGTGCTCGACTTTTGTGTATTTTTAAAATGTATGGTGTATGTGTGCTTCTGTGTGAGTGTATGCCATGTGTATGTGGGCACCTGAGGAAGCCAGGAGAGGGGCTTGGTTCCCTTGGATTACATGTGGCTGTGGGCTTCCTGGTGGAGTTGCTGGGATTTGAACTTGGGTCTCCTGGAAGAGCAGTGTACTGGCGAGCCATCTCTCACCAGTCCCATTTTTATAAGAAACTGAAAGAATGCCGGGCGGTGGTGGCGCACACCTTTAATCCCAGTACTCGGGAGGCAGAGGCAGGCGGATCTCTGTGAGTTCGAGACCAGCCTGGTCTACAAGAGCTAGTTCCAGGACAGGCTCCAAAGCCACAGAGAAACCCTGTCTCAAAAAAAAAAAAAAAAGAAAAAGAAAGAAAGAAAAGAAAAAGAAACCAAAAGAAAAGCCAGGCATGGTTGTACATACCTACCTATAATATGAGCACTTGGGAGGATCTGGAATTCTAGGTCAGCCTTGAGTTACATTGAAAATTTGAGGCTGGTTTGCAAGTCCATAGCCAGACTGCTCTGTGAATCTCTGTGAAAAGAAAGAAAAAAAAAAAGGAAAAGGGGAGGAGGAGGAGAGGGAGGGAATGAAGGAATAAAACAGGGAGAGGGGAGATGTTTTCTTACAGCATTTAGGAAGTCAAGGCTAGGAGGCTCACAAGCTTAAGGCCAAAGTGAGACCCAGGTTCAAAAAAATAAACCAAATGACTGGAGAGATGGCTCAGTAGGTAAGAGTGTAAACATGTTCAGATCCCTGCACACATTTTAAAACAAACAACAAAAAAACCCAAAATACCCCAGTGGTGATGGCCTGGGTACCCAGCACTCGGGGGCAAAGACAGGAGGGTCACCCAGGTTTGCTGACCTCCATGTGCACACACCCAACCCTCCACACAACCAAGAAATCAACAATGCTTTCTACGAATTAAAATGACACACTTCAGAGGTTGGGGATTTATCCCACTAGACAACAGTGCTTTCTCTGGAAGCTCGAAGACCTCAGTTTGAGCCTCCAGCACCCACATAAAAAGCCAGACTTTGCCAGGCCTGATAGCACTCAAAAGGCAGAGGCAGGAGGATCTCTGTGAGTTCGAAGACAGTTACTCAGAGAAACCCTGACTTGAAAAACCACCACCATCACACCACCAACAACAACAATAACACAAGAAAAAAGAAAGAAAGAACAGAACAGAACCAGACTTAGCTATGCCTGCCTGTAGCCCCAGCAGTGGGGGCCTGAGACAGGGGGATTATGAAAATTCCCTGGCCAGTCAGCCTAACAGAAACAGGCTGACTTCTGGTTTACTGAGAGACCTTGTCTCAAAGCAGGAAGGTGGAGGGCAACAGAGGAAGACATCCTGTGTCCTGCTCTGTCCTCTACACATGCAAGTACACACACACAACACATACACTCATACAACACACACACAGAGCACACTCATTTATACACCACACACACACAGAGTCACACACATACCTCATACACACTCACACAGATGCACACTCACACATACTCTCACACAGATGCACACTCACACACACACATGCACACACCTCACACACGCACACTCACATGCATACTCACACACACTCACACAGATACACTCACATACATGCACACACACACTCACACAGATGCGCACACACACCTCACACACATGCTCACACACCTCACAATACTCTCACACAGATGCACACACACACACACAATGTAAAGGAGGCTGCCCCTGCTCCTTGGCAGACTGACATATTTGCCTCCACTCTGCCATTGTAAAGAGTAGCCAAATAATGAAGATATTAACTGCTAATTAACCATCCTTGAAGCCTCCGGAAGCCAGGTTCACACTGACTTTCAGACAGCATCTGAGTCTAGCGTCTCTCCCTGGTCCTCAACTGCTGCATCCAATGGAGCCTGTCTGCTCCTGTACCGCTTAGCTCAGATAAATGTTTGTAATCAGACCCCAGGAGGTCAAGGTCAGTTGGGAGTTCTGACCAGAGACGTAGGAGAAAAGAAGTGTCTTGGCTGAGGGACACCCTGTCCCCCATGTCCCAAGATGGGACCATGAGAGCAACATGACAATAGCGCTCTGTCTTCTCAGGATCGGCCCTTGAACAAACCCTGGCTCCTTGTGCTCCGGCTTCATTCTTCCTCCGTCCATCCCTCCCTCCCTTCTTTCTTTCTCTCCCCTCCCCCTTAACTTTTGTTTTCAGCGAGACTTTACTCTGTAGCCCAGGCTGGCTGGAACTCATGGTCCCTCTGCCTCCGCCTCCTTAATTCTGGCGTTATAGACACGCCAGGCCTCCAGATCTGGTTAGAATCCCGGCTCAAGTGCAGAGCTGAGGTTCTAGAAGCCATTCTCTGCCTCATGAATATGCGTAGTCCCTATGAGACAACTGAAAGTTGAAATGAGGAGCCAGGCAGTGCACACCTTTAATCCCAGCACTCGGGAAGCAGAGGCAGGTGGATCTTTTGTGAGTTTGAGGCCAGCCTGGTCTTCAAGAGCTAGTTCCAGAACAGGCTCCAAAGCTACAGAGAAACCCTGTTTCAAAAAACCAAAAAAAAAAAAAAAAAAGAAAGGAAGGAAGGGAGAAAGTTGAAAGTTGAAATGAGGGCTGAAGATGTAGCCGGCGCTCGAGGGCTTGTTGTCTGGGGTGCAAACCTCAGGTCAGCTGTCTTCACGAAGCTGGCCCTGTACACTTGTAATCCATTCAGGAGATGGAGGCCAGAAATTCAGGAATCCCGTCTGTCTGGTGGGCTCAAGGTCAGCCTGTGCTACCTGAGACCACGTCTCAAAAGCTAATTCATTCAGGGCTGGAGTTCCCTGGGGAAGAACACTTGCTGCTTTTCCAGAGGAACAAGTTCTGGGGGTCGGACTCAGGGCTTCATGCGTGCTGAGCAGGCTTCTGAGCCACATCCCAGCTTAGGTGTCGCTTTTCTCCCTGCCTCTCACTTCCTCTTGGACACAGCTACACCTCAGAGTCTGTTTCCCAGGAACTCGATCTATAATGTCACGGTAATGTAAGTAAGTATTTGTCATTTAAGTCACCAGCCAGGGGCCAGCAGCTGTCTTGGTGTGAAACACTCATTCCCAGGGAAGCCAACCAGCAGCTAATCCGAAGCCAAATGGAAAACAGGATTTGGTGGCACTCCTACGATTCCAGCATTCAGTGCAGTGAGGCAGGAGGATATGGAGCCCTGGTTGGCATGGAACTCGCTCTGTAGACCAGGCTGGCCTTGAACTCACAGGGATCCTCCTGTCTCTGACACCCAAGTGCTGGGATTAAAAGTGTGTGCCACGAAGCCTAATCCACACAACTAATTTTTTAAAAAGATTATGTGTATGAGTGTTTCGCCTGCTCGTATGTATAGCATCAGGTGCTAAAGGACCTCAAAAACAGCATAAGACCCCCTGGAGGGGGTTACAGACAGTTGTGAGCTGCCATATGGGTGCTGGGGACCAAATCTAGGGTCTCTGGAAGAGCAACAAGTGCTTTGAACCCCTGAGCCATGCTTCTAGCCCCTCACACTACCTTTTAAAAAAGCTAAAAGGGCATTTATGGCCAGAGTTTCCACTGTTCTGCTCTCAGAAGCAGCAGCCTTACTGAGCCGCCATGGAGGTCTCCACTCGTGTACTCAGTGACTTATTAATTGGCACGGCAGATGTCAAAAACTGAGTTCACATTGGCGAGTTGGTGTGCAACGCTGGCTAAAATATTTTAGATTCAGGGCTGGAGAGATGGCTCTGCAGTTGAGAGCACTGACTGCTCTTTCAGAGGACCCAGGTCTAAATCCCAGCACCCACATAGCGGCTTGCAACTGTCTTTGACTCTGGTTCCAGGGTACCCAACACCCATGGCAAACATCAATGGTCATAAAATAAAAAATAAGTAAATTTTAAAAAGCAAAAGTATTTTAGATACTTCTGCCCTTCTTTGAGTAGAGTGCAGGGATCTGGTCCATCTTGGGGTATGGTGTGCCTTGTCTTGATCCTTGCTTCACTAGTCCCTGAAGCCACCTCTAGGGTTATCACAATAGGTTTTCCAAGGACACGGCCAAGTTGACCTCAAATGAACCTTGTATGAAAGGTACATTCAGAACACAAATCTGCAACCTCATCGACTCACAGAACAGGTTGTGTGGCTGTGCTTGTGCCTGCCTGTGTCACCCAGAGCTGCTTCATTCCCAGCTCTGCTCACCATTTGGCCTCCATTTCCAAACCTGTGTGGCCAACTCCATCTGTTACCAGGAATGACGTTGCTGATCCTCGTGCCTTCGCCTCCCGGGTGCTGGAACTACAGCTGCGCACCCTGAACCCAGTTTATTCAGTGTCGGGTTGAGACCCAGGGCTTCTTACACGCTGGGCGGGAATTTTACCAACGGAACTACATAGAAGTCTTTAAGGACAGGCTTAATGCCCTGAATTAAGCGAAATATGTCTTATGCAAGCATCAGTTCTGTCTGGCGGGTATTGGCAGCTGCTAAGAGCAGGAGGTGACCAATACAGCTCCACTACTGGGTAATTCGTTCCAATGAACGTCCTCACTACAGCTGGATGTGCGGTGCAGATCTTCAATCCCAGTACACGGGGCGGGGCGGGGGCATCAGGCATCGCTTGGCTGTGCTTGTATGTTACTCTCATTCTCCGAGGTAGTCTAAGCACTTTATGTTTGTGTTAACTAATTTAGCAACACCATGAATAGAGAGAGGCTAGCAAAGATTCCCTCGGAAGGAGGGCCTTGGGGGCGTGGTTGGGCGTGGCCAGAGGTTGCAGCACTGTAATTGGTGAGTCTGAGTCTAAGAGGCGGAACCAGCCTTTAAGAGAGCCAACGGCTAGAGAATAAGCCACTGGTTCATTCCTAAACACACGAAGTGTGACGATTGCGGAAAAAACATGTAGGGGATGCTGGGATCTAACAACGATAGGCTAGCGTGTTTGGGAGGT